CAAATCTCAAAAAATCTCAAATCTCAAAAAATTCCCGCCTTTTTCCTCCTGAGCCCAAGGGGGGCAAAGACTTCTCCCTCAAGGGTTCCCTTCTCCCTCCTCCCTCAAGGGTTTGCACGCTGCCCTTGCACTACCAAGAGCCACGCTGATAATTGCCTACAGCTCTCCCGTGCCCTGCCGGTGGGAGTGGTGGATTCAGGGGTTGCAGCAACTGGGAGCCCTACAATCTGAGAGGTTGGCCGTGTCCTGGCTTGGCCCTTCTGAAGAAACTCTGGGCCCTTAACAAAGTTAATGCTGGAATAATAAAAATTATACCCAACCAAGGAAGGCAACACTGAGCCAAAGCTGCTCTGGTGCTCATCTCTCATCCTTCGGAGCAAGCCTGGGGATTTCCTGTGTTTCCTAAACACAACCGAAGTGCTGAGGGCCGGGTAGACCTCTAGATGCAGAGCGTGCCTCCACTTGTGGGGCTTCCATAGCAAATTATCCTCCAAGTTGCCTTTCTCCAGCCACTTGGAGGATCTGGGTGAAGCCCTTCGCCTGGCACGGATGAAAGGAGCGGTTCCACCAGAGCAACGCCTGTTGAATGGCCCAGAGGGTTCGCACTTGGGGGGCCGACGTGGCGGGAGGGCTACTGATTCCCGGGGCTTTGCAGCGGGCCTGGCGTGCGGGTTTTGCTCCCACTTTGAGAAGGGCTGTTGGCCATCAGGGTGGTCGGAGCTTCGGAGCAGGGAGAGCGGAAGACTGGCTGGGAAGCAGCGCCTGCGGAGGGGCAACCGCAGCTGCTTTTGGGGTCTGCTGGCGCCTTGAGAGGCAGACCGAGCTCCGCTGCAGGGGAACCGGCCCGACTCCCTGGCAGCCACGGCCACGAGGACGCCCGTCCGCCAGGGACCCCCGACCCCCGACCTCCTAGCCCAGGGAAACGAGAGAGCCGCTTCCCAGGGTGCGGGCGCCGCCAGAGGGCGCCATCGTGCCCCGGAGACGACCAGAGAGAGGGGCCGGCTGCCCTGCTTCCGCTTCCGGGTCTCCAGAGAAGATGGCGGCGGCCTCCAGCCTCTCCAAGGCCGAGTACCTGCGGCGGCGCTACCTGGAGGGCGGCGATGCCGAGGCGGGCAAGAAGCGGCGGCGGAAGAAGGCGGCGGCGGCGGCGGGCCGGTGAGTGAATTCGGCCTTGCGTCGCCTCCGGTCTTCCTGGGCCTGGACCAGCCCCCTTCTTGGCGTCCCTCGAGGCCGGCGAGAAGCCTGGAGGGTCGCCCTCCCTGCGCGGCCCCGGAACCCGGGCCCGCTTGGCCGCTTCCCCGAAGGGGCGGCTGGGTCCGCTCGGAGGGAGCCCCCGGCGGGGGTTCCCCGCCTGCGGAAGGGCCGCCCTGCCAGCCCTTCTGCTCAAGCGGGAGCTGGGGGCGTGTGTGCGGCCGGAGGTCCCGGGGCTTCTCCTCCCCGCGAGCGTGGCGCGCCTGGGCCGGTGCTGAGCCGGTGGCGAAGGGCTCTTTTCCCGCCCGCAGGATGCGCATCGTGGATGACGACGACGTGAGCTGGAAGAGCCGGCCTGCCGACGAGGGCAAGGAGGAGGAGGAAGAGGCGGACGAGAGCGACCTGCCCGTGGTGAGTCGGGGGCGGCCGGGCCTCGCCTGGACTTTCCTGGCTGGCTGCCTGCAGTGCGGAGGCTTATGGCTTATGTCCCATGGTCGGGTGCCAAAGCAAAGCGATGAGACAGGCAGGGCCCATGGAGGGGAAACGGCTTAACCGGCTGCACGATCCAGTCTGGCTCCGTCACTGGGATCCGAGATTTTGCCTTTCCGGTGCTGGAGCCGATCCTCAGGGAATCGTTTAACGGGTTGCTTGGTAGGAGGACCTTTAGCCATGCAGAGGAAAACCCCTCCTGTCTCCTCTGTTCTTTCTAGGTGGCTGAATTTATTGACGAACGGCCAGATGAAGTTAAATGGATGGAAACTTTCCGAGGAAGTAACAAATGGAAGTTATTAGGAGGTTAGCAGTTTGGAGCTTCTCTGAGAGAATGGTTTCATTGTGCGTGAGATCCTTGAGCTGGGTTTGCTGCATGCATCCTCTGCCTGATCCAGGCTTTGAGCAAAGAGGGTTCGGGTTGCGCTGGCTGAAAAGGCACTTTAAAAGGTGAAAGCTGGAATGGTTTGGAAGGAAAGTCGTGGGCCACATTTTACTTTCCTTTGAAAAAACCATTTTGTTTATAAAAAAATGAAATGTCTTTTCATCCTGGAAATAAGCTTTCTTCAGAAACAAATTTGGCACCCACCAGATCCCCACCCCTGTGCTTGCTCTTTAGGAATTCTCCAAGTTGTAATTTCTACATTTTGGGAAACAGACACATGAAGAGAGACAATTAGGAATGCCTTGTGTATTAAGAAGGCTTTACATTTCTTTTTAAAGATCAAAATGAGGAGCCATCGTTTGGACATTCTACGGCAACTGCATCAATAAGCAGGTGAGATGTGGGAACGTTAGCTGATTAGCTCACAACCGAATCTTTCCGGCTATTGCTTGTGTTAATCAGGGATAATATTTGTAGCTCAGGGTTGACATACTTGTGTCGCTTGATGTTATATGCTATTGCCAGATTGCTGAATTAGCCAGACACTTCTTGGATCAGGAGAATTTTTCCTAAGATTCTTATTCAGTAACCAGGCAAGAACCAAGAATATATAAAACTTACCTTGCAATATAATGCTAATTGAAAATGGGTATATTTGTTAGAAACTTAGATTGTTGCTTTTGCTACCTTACTCAGTTCAGAAACCTCCAGAACAAATGAAAAAAAGCATTTGTTGGACCAGTCCCCGCCTAGGAGAGCCCGTCATGCCCAGCCTGATCTGTCCCCTAAAAGAGAGCCGTCAGCAGGAGGCACACATCGTGTCAAAGGTTCGAGTGGAAGCCAGCGTGAATTGTTCTCAGACGAACGCTCAGCTGGCCAGAAGTATAGGGCAACGGCTGGTGCGGATGGGTCGCTGCCTTGCAAGAAAGCATCTCGCCCGGAGGGAGACTTGCTGCTACCTCAGAAGGGGCTGCCATCCAGGAGTGAGTAGCCCCGTCCTAAACTACCTGCCGTTGTTTGGGGTGTGAGTTGTCCGAACCCCTCAGTGATACCTTGGCAACCATCAGCTATCCTTGGTGATGCATTCTGAAAACGTCTCTTTTCCTTCACGGATTTCCCAGGCACCCGGCAGTCCCAGCCAACAGCAGCATCACCAAGGAAGCGGCAGAGACATGATTCGGAATCCAGTTCTGGCTCTTCTACGACGAGGAGGAGAGCTGAAGCCACCACAGATTCAGACCTTTCCCCACCCCGGGCCACAGGCAGACCAGGCACACGGCGACCAAATTCTCCTGATCTCTCCCCTCCTAGAAGGAATCGGCACAGATCTTCAGATTCGGACTTATCTCCTCCCCGAAGAGGAGCAGAAGCAAAAAAGAAAGGTCACAGGTCCAGGAGTCCCTCGACTGTCTTGCCACGTCATCAGGCCACGGAGTCCAACGGGAGCAGCCAGAGGGTGAGGCTTTGGCTTCCAGGAAGGGCCTGAGATGTGCTGCGGTGCCCAGTTGCAGGGAGAAAGCCTTGCTCCAGCTGAGGCAGCCAGGAGGCAATAGGCTGTTCCATGAATGGATGATTTATGGGACACGCCTCTCTCCTGATTCCACCTTGTGTGTTTCTCAGATGCTGTCGGGGGGCAAAGCGGGCTTGGTATCGGCTGATCTGTTGAGAATGGAGCAGCAGGAACACAAGAAGGCTGGCAGCAGCAACAATAGCAAACATCTGGAGGGTGAGAATTTCTGGAGCTTGAAATTGCGTGGCGCATCCATAGCCCAAGCTTCTGTGCTTCAGTCCAGCTTTTTCTAGGCAGAATCTGGTTCAGGTGGCTGTTCAGGGCAGTAGGTGCACTGACTATAGAGACTTCCACATGGTGTTTGCATTGTTAAACCCTGCAACTTCTTTCTTGAGGTTCTGTGGGGGATCCGTTTCCTCTCTTCCCTATTATGGTTTTGCTGTTTCTGCAAGAATCTGTAGTGGAAGTGGAAACAGGCCTCCACCTGGAAGCGTCCTTACCTGCGTGGCTGCTTTTAAATGCTCCGATCTATCCATTTCCCTTCAGATGAATCTCGGCACGCAAAGACAGTTTTCCGGGATGAGATGGGCCGTAAGAGGGACCTGAAGCAGGAGCGGCTGGAGCTGCGCAAGAAAGCAGAAGAGAAGTCGGAGCGAGACGAGCAGTATGCCAAGTGGGGCAAAGGGTGAGCTGGCGGTTTCCGTGCTTCAGCCTGGGAGCCCTGGGAAAAGGGCCTTCGGGATCCTACGGCCCGTGTTGGCGTCCAGCAGGCAAGCAAGGGCCAGGATCTCAAAGGGAGGCTTTGCCACTGAGCTGCCTTTTGGCGGAAGGCCTGGAGTGGAGGAGGGTGGAGGCTTCCTGCATGTCGGTGGGCTCTCTTGCTAAGCTGCGGCCCACAGCTATTGTGTGCCGTTGTTTCGAGAGTGGGGCCGTTGTCTCCTGCCGCCTCGTGATGTGCACCCCGTGTCTTTCCCAAGCCTGGCACAGAGCAGGCAGCAGCAGCAAAATGTGGACGATGCAGTGAAGGAAATGCAGAAGCCCCTGGCGAGGTACATCGATGACCAGGACTTGGATCAGATGCTGCGGGAGCAGGAGCGAGAAGGAGACCCCATGGCCGACTTCATGAGGAAGAAGAAGGTGGCCAAGGAGGGGCAAGGCGCCAAAGGTCAGCGCTCGCAGCCTCAGGCGGGCAACGGGGGGCAGAAACCCTCAAAGGGGGCAGCCAGCATAGAAATGGTGACCGAAAGGTTTCAGGGAAGGAGGTCTGGGTGCAACAGTGGGAAACCGCCCACATTTGCTGCCTTTCAAGGGATGGGTGGGAGACGTCTAAAAGAGGCAGAGGCAGAAAAAGACATTCGGCCATTTAATCACCTTTTTTGCTCCCTGGTTGGCTTTTCTAGCTTCCCAGAGTGATGTTGTCCCCCTCTTGCCCAGGCATCTGATGCCACCAGTAAACCACCTCTAGTGCTTCTCTGTCTCTTGGCTCCGCCTTGTTGTTAATGGGCCTGATTGCCTTAAGGGGAAAAAGAGAAAACCTCCATTCTTTGTTTCCTCCCCTTTCCTCCAGAAAAGCCAAAGTACAACGGGCCAGCACCCCCACTGAACAGGTTTAACATCTGGCCAGGCTATCGCTGGGATGGAGTAGACAGGTAAGCCGCTCTTCCGGACGGAGTGAGGATCCCTCAGTTCTGTCTCCCAAAGGCCCGGAGGAAGAAGGGCCCAGGCCTCTGCTGGCAGCGTTGACCCCTGGCTACCGTTTTTCTTCTTCTTAAGCCCTAACCTTAATCCTAACCCTGCAAGCACTGGTTGGCTACACATGAACAGAGCAAATCCTTCACTCACCGGCCCTGATGGTGTTATCTAGTTGGGTAATAAAATATCTGCAAGCAAATTGCCAAGCTCAGAGAGCACCAGGGACTCCATGCTACAGCCGTGCATCTCTTTGGTCTTTTCCCCTGGAACCTGGGAGGCAAAAGGGTTTCTG